CTCTGAAACTAACAGACCCTCTGAAGCTCATCCATGGAAGTGAAGCCCGGGTCCCACGGACGCCAGATGAAGTACCCTTGGCTTAGAGCCCATCCCATAAAAGGAGAAAGGGAAGAAAACCCCCAGCTGGATGGAATCATGCAAACACAAACAGCCCATGTGACAGGAGCCAACAAACTGGGAGATGGAGCAGGAACTGGGTATTCCTGGCCTGAAACCAGGCAGGGAACTGTAGGATAGGAGTGCAACAGTCCTGTGTACCTGCGGGGCAAGGGGCACTCTGCTGTGCACTTACAATATGCTAACTCACTCTATCATCAAACAACCTTCCTGAAAAGCTTCCTCCACTCACTTTAACGGTGTGACTACAGCAGTAGGAATTCAGCCTTTCCTCTCCCACCATCTCTCCCTCAAATTTCCTCAGGCCATTCACTACTTTCTTAACTCAAGGAAATTTGGAATGGGGTTGAACCAGAAGGAGCTTAGAAATAAAGACATATCAGCTTATGATGTTGTAAAAATCAATGAGTATTTGGTAGAAATTGTATCCAGATTTTAAAAATTACAAACCTATGTATTTTATGTGTGTGATGGGTACAGTGTGTGTTAGCATGTGTAGCATGTGGTGGTCAGGCTACAAATCACATGAGTTGGTCCTCTCCTTCCAACATGTGGGTCCCAAGGATTGATTCCATGTTGTCAGGCTTGGCAACAAGGGCCTTCACTTGCTGAGCCATCTTGCCAACCCTACTCAGAATTTTGAGTTTTATTCTCTGTCTAGATTAGGGATACATAGAATCATCCAGTCTTGATGGCTGACAGGGGCAGAGAGTTTCAGATCCTACTCAGCCACATCATCCTGAGAGACTCTAGAGGACCATGTTGCTGAGCTCTGAGTCTCGGGAGATTAGGTTTCTTAAATACATTGTCTGTTTATGACATTTTCATATGGCCTAAATTCAGTGCCCATTTCTTGGACTTATCAGGATGGACCCCCATTATATTTCATCTGTATTTTCCTTTGGGCCTTGGTTTTCTATACCCAGACTGAATGAAGTGATAGATCTGTGAGCCATACTCAGGGTAGGGGTAGGATAAAGATCAGAAGGTAAGACACAGTTGTAACTGGCCCAGAAGCAATTACCACCCAGGGCTAGGTCCCACGGCATAGAGGACAGGGCATAGGATACCAGGAGGAATGAGCAGCAAGAATGACAGCCTCTGCCACAGAGAGTCTGGAGTTGGACTGTGCTATAGGCTGGGCAGACAGTGTCCTTATTTCTGAGCCCTGTGTACAAGACTCTGAGTGGGATGGATGAAGCAAACAGGCAGTAACAGCTAAGACCAAATTTCTAAATCTTGCTGTTTAAGAAGGTGCAATTTTGACATCTTCTGCATCCTGCCATTGCATTGTAATAAGCTGTCAACCCTGCTGGAAAATCTTAATTTATTAAGTGAAACTGAGAAATTATGGAATTTGCTAAAGGTCATAAGAAAATCTATACAGCCTGAAGCCCAGCTCTCTAGTGCAGCAGCCTTTCTCAGAAAGTCACACTTTTCAAGTTTCCTAGACTTTTAAAAATGTTTTGTTGTTGTTGTTGTTGTTGTTGTTTTGTTTTGTTTTTCAAAACAGAGTTTCTCCATGTCGTCCCTGCTGTCCTGGAACTTGCTTTGTAGATTAGGCTATCCTTGAACTCAGAGCTCTGCCTTTTCTGCCCCTGCCTCTCAAGTTTTAGGATTAAGCGACCACTTCTGGTGTAAATACTTTTAAAAAAAATACAATTTGAAATGTGTAAAAGGAATTAGCAGAAAATGAAAGGAAGAAGTATGCCAGCTCTTATATTTGGGTGTGAGAGTCAATATTTGCAAAGTCCCTTGTCAACTACTACACATATTTTCAACATTTTTTTTCTCAGTTTCAGGCAAGAGAAGATAGAGTCTGGCCACACTGTAAGCAGTTACAGCTAGAAGACATGGTCTACCGTAATTATGGGATGCTTAGAATTGGTGTTGTTAATAACAGAATTCCCAAACACTCCAGAATCTTTGTTATCTAAGACTCTAATAGCCGGTAACTAGTTCCTCTTGGCAACAACACAGGCTGCTCCCATTTCATCAACACCCTTTTCACATACATCCTACTTCCAAGTTGCCACAGTGTTCAGAAAATCTCTCCCTCACCGACGCAGATATCCAAGTTTTGCTTCCATTGTTCCTTGCTTAGCTATGGGAGACCCACTTTTACTTTCTACTGGGATCTTTAACAAGACAGACTCTCACTGAGGAACTCTGGCATGGGAAGTGACAACTCCTCGTACATTTTCAGAAGAGAGTAAGCTTTAAGTAGCCATTACACTACAGAGTTCTATTACAATTAAGCTATTTGCTTTAAAGAACTTCTGCT